CATGGAAATAACTCATTCAACATTTAGTCACATGTCTTTACCCTTACAGAAAAAAATCCCCCCAAAATACAGAAATGAATAAAGTAGAAAGTGAAGCCTTCCATTATTCCACTTCCCACTGTCAGGTCAATGTATCACAGTCTAGACTTTTTCCTCTGTGTATGTGAGTGTTTATTTCTAAACTTTTTTTTTTTTTTTTGACACCGAGTCTCGCTGTGTCGCCCAGGCTGGAGTGCAGTGGCGCCATCTCGGCTCACTGCAAGCTCCGCCTCCCGGGTTCAGCCCCATTCTCCTGCCTCAGCCTCCTGAGTAGCTGGGACTACAGCCTCCCGCCACCTCGCCCGGCTAGTTTTTTGTATTTTTAGTAGAGATGGAGTTTCACTGTGTTAGCTAGGATGGTCTCGATCTCTAACCTCGTGATCCACCTGTCTCAGCCTCCCAAAGTGCTGGGATTACAGGCGTGAGTCACCGTGCCCAGCTATTTCTAAACTTTTTACAGACATGACATGACACCCTACATTTTAGCAACTCACTCAGTTTTGGTATAGCATAGACTGATATGTCCACATCGCATCACTCTCCAGGGTTCTGAATGCCTGTGAGCTAAGCTACAACATGGCAACAATTCATTTACCATTTCCTTAAGATGAACATTAAGCTATTTCTAATTTTCCCCCACAAACAATGCTTTAATGAACACCCTCCATCTCACACCTCTATGAACACGCAGGAGAATTTCTTTGGGAGAAATCCCTGACTATGGAATTGTGGGTATGATGGCACGTTTAAAACACTGTCATCTTACTGCCAAATTATCCTCTGATTATTCTGGGAATGAACTGCCTGCATTCACCCCTCCCAGAGGCAGAGCGGGGCACACATCCCCTACCCCTGCCTTCCTCCTTTGGTGACATCTCTCCTTGAACAGGGTGGGGTGAGAGGCCACTGTGACAACACAGATGTGGGGGTCGGCAGAGGGACAAGCCCTGTGGCTGCCCAATTAGGACCTCAGGGAACAGTACTGGATGTCCTCTTCTGAGACTTAGCATGTATTTAACTGGCAGGAGTCTTGGTGATTCCTAATCGCCAGTGCCAAGGACAGAAGTGGGGTGGCTGGCAGGGAGAGGCTAAACGTCATTTTAAAAATCACAATAACATGATTTTAGATTTGGAAAAAGTCAAGAAAAGAACCTTATTGTACAAAGCATCCATTTGCCATTTACTTATTCATTCAACAAATATTTCAGTTCCTTTTAGTTCAGGTTATTCTTAGGATTGCCACACTGAACAAAAGAAAGTCTCACTGAACTTCCACCCCACTTGGGGAGACAAATTATAAACACAGTATCAGTGAGTGGCAAGTACTGTATTAGAGTAACAGCCAGCTGCTGTGACAAACCCAAAATTTCAGATGACCACTGAAGGATTCAGGACCCCAGATGAAGCCAAATGTCCCCACCGCCTAGCTCCAGGGCATCCTCTTTCCAGAACTCAGAACTAATCTCTGTGGCTGGACAAAGTGGCTCACGCCTGTAATCCCAGCAAGTGATTCTCCAGCCTCAGCCTCCTGAGTAGCTGGGATTATAGGTGAGTGCCACCATCCCAGCTAATTTTTGTCTTTTTAGTAGAGACAGGGTAACCCACATGGTCTCAGAGGAACCTGATGGGATGTCAAAGATTGACAGTCACCCTGGACTGGGTGTGGTGGCTCATGCTGAGGCAGGTGGATCACTTGAGGTCAGGAGTTCGAGACCAGCCTGGCCAAAATAGTGAAACCCCGTCTCTACTATAAATACAAAATTAGCCAGGCGTGGTGATACATTCCTGTAATCCCAGCTACTCAGGAGGCTGAGGCAGGAAAAATGCTTGAACCTGGGAGGTAGAGGTTGCAGGGAGCCAAGATGGTGCCATTGCACTCCAGCCTGGGTGACAACAGCAAAACTCCACCTTAAAAAAAAAAAGTAGTAAGTGTTAGAGGATTGGGGGTAACAATTTTACATCAATCTAGACCTCAATCAATTAATGAAAAGTTACTGCTAACCTACTATGTGCTACTGTATCCCCCTTAGTAACAGTAGACTTTAGCTTCAAATTCATGGTTTCCCCGTCTTGCTAGGGTCTGGGGTGGGCTCCATCCCCTTTGGGGAAGACAGTACTAACTGTCTACCTGGTATCCACCAGTCCCTTCTCCTTTCTAGGAGCCCTGCTTTGCCCCAGGGGGCAGTGTGCTTTTGCAGGGAGGCCAATGATCAGAAGGGGAAGTTGCTGGACAGGGCATCTGGGAAAGCTCTTCATACCACGAGGATTCCATCAAGGCTGCTATGAGCTATGACTGTGCCGCTGCACTCCAGCCTGGGCAAAAGAGCTAGACCTTGTCTCTAAAAAAGAGACAAGAACTCCCTTTGCCACCCCTCCTCCTTCTCCTTCCTGCTTGCATGGTGGATATGGGTGAACTTGGATATGGGCCAAGTTCAGCACTTAGTGTGCCTTTGTTCAAATTTGGACAAGACTTCTGCTGTGGGCAGTCAAATTAGGAAAAAGACAGCTCCCATGGGCTGAAGCATCCCCTTGAGTGCAGGGCCTGGGGTGGCAAGCAGACCATGGGCTGGATTTCAGTTCCCACTCAATCGCTTTGGCAGGAAGCTTGGAGCAGTACACAAACTGCACAGCCGTCCCCGGCAGCCCTGATCTTGGACTATGAGGCAACTTTGAGGATGGAAAGCACTTGCTGAAGGCAGAGCTGAAAGACAAAAGCCTGGACCCTTGATAAGGATGGAGCCTCACACCAGCCCTGGCTGACCTCCCTGGGTTTTCTTTTGTTCTTTTAAAAAAAAATTAATAATCTATTTTGAAATAATTTCAAAATTTCAGAAAATTTGCAAGAACCCCTGACAAAGAGCTCCCCTTTACACAGATTGGCCAATTGTTTTTTTAAAAAATATCTTTTTTATAAGTTTTTTATTTTTGTAGAGATGGGCTCTATGTTGCTGAGGCTTGTCTCAAACTCCTGGGCTCAGCCAATCTTTCCAAAGAGCTGGATTACACGTGTGAGCCACCGTGCCTGGCATGGCCAGCTGTGAATGTTCTATCACATCTGTTCGGCTCCCCCTCATCTCTCTCTCCTCTCTCTCCCTTCTCCCTCTTTCGCTATGGGTAAATCCTTGAGAGTAGTTGGTAAACATGTCATCACCCCTAAATCCTCCAGCATGTGTATCCCCCAAACAGGGACAATCTAATGACCCCCCAGATCACCTCTGGCTCCTTAAGAAAAACACAAAACTTCCACCCAACTCACTCATTTCGGTTTTCTGTTTAAGTAGACAAACCAATTCTAACTGCTCCCCTCTTTACCCCTAAAAGACCCACAACATGCCCAGTGCCCCACACCACACTTTGCTCCAGTCCCTCACACCTGTTAGCACCTTTTGGCTTCAGAGCTTTTCGTGTTTGCAATTGAACTGAAAGCCACGTAACATAAAATTCATCATTTTAAAATGTGTAATTCAAGGCCCAGCACTTTGGGAGCCTGAGGAGGGCAGATCACTGGAGGTCAGGAGTTCGAGACCAGCCTGACCAACATGGTGAAACCCAATCTCTACTAAAAATACAAAAATTGGCCGGGTGTGGTGGCAGGCATCTGTAATCCCAGCTACTTGGGAGGCTGAGGCAGGAGAATCGCTTGAAGCAAGACGCGGAGTTTGCAGTGAGCCGAGATTGTGCCACTGCACTCCAGCCTGAGCGACAGAGTGAGACCCTGTCATTCATTCATTCATAAATAAATAAATAAACTGTGTAATTCAGTGGCATTCAGTACAGTTACAATGTTGTATAACCACCGCCTCTACCAAGTTCCAAAGCATCAGCCCAGAAGGAAGCCCGGCACAGCTGCTCCCTGTTTCACCCGCCCTGGTCGTCCTGATCACCTTCTGTCTCCACGGATCCCCTGCTGCCTGACCCTGCATAGAAACAGAACTGCACATCCAGCGCCACCTCAGAACATTTGCAGGAGCAGCTCTTTCTTCCCAGGTGCTCCTCCCTCTTCTTACTCTGGCACTCTTTAGGGTTCACTTCACCAGCACCCCTTTGGGGTTCTCCCTAGAGCCCCACCTGAGGTCAAGTTCTCCCAGTACATATCCTCAGAAGCCTGAGCTTTCCATGATCAGCATTTGTCACTATTACAATTATCCTTCAGGGCTATTTCATTCATGCCTTCTGTAGTTAGATTATAAAGTCTATTAGGGGTAGGGTGTGGTGGCTCACACCTGTCATCCCAGTGCTTTGGGAGGCAGAGGCAGGAGGTTTGCTTGAGGTCAGGAGTTTGAGACCAGCCTGGGCAACATAGGGAGAGCCCGTCTCTACAAATAATAATAATAATACTAATAATAATAATAATAATAATAATAGTAATAATAATGGCCAGGCAGGGTGGCTCATGCCTGTAATCCCAGCACTTTGAGAGGCTGAGGTAGGCAGATCACCTGAGGTCAGGAGTTTGAGACCAGCCTGGCCAACATGGTGAAACCCTGTCTCTCCTAAAAATACAAAAATTAGCTGAGTGTGGTGTTGCATGCCTGTAGTCCCAATTACTCGGGAGGCTGCGGCCGGAGGTTTGCTTGAATCCAGGAGGCAGAGGTTGCAGTGAGCCAAGATTGTGCTACTGCACTCCAGCCTGGGCAAAAGAATGAGACTCTGTCTCAAAAATAAATAAATAAATAAAAAAAATAAATAATAAAAAAATTTAAAAAAACAAAAAAATAATAATACTCCTTAACAAGGGCATGTCTGTCTTGTTTATCACTATATACCAGGGCCTAGGCCAAAATTTGGCATGGAGCAGGCCAAAATATTAACAGTAATATTTTGTTAATTGAATAACTAGATGATTGCTCCCACGGAGGAGTCATCTTGTATTGCCCCGGCTGTGACATAGGCAGCCCCTACACTCGGGGGCCTACCCGCCCCTCACATGCCCATATATGGACATGATGCAGGCCACCTGGCCATGGTTTGTGAGGTCCCAGCCCCTTTGCCCTCACAATGACCAACGGCCTCCTGGCATCTATAAGAGGCTGCAGAGCTGGCCCCTGACTCACAGCCCACAGAGTTCCACCTGCTCACAGGTTGGCTGGCTCAGCCAAGGTGGTGCCCTGCTCTGAGCATTCAGGCCAAGCCCATCCCGCACCATGGCCAGGTACAGATGCTGTCGCAGCCAGAGCCGGAGCAGATGCTGCCGCCAGAGACGAAGATGTCGCAGACGAAGGAGGCGGAGATGCCGGGCACGGAGGAGAGCCATGAGTAAGTGGGCCCAGCTGAGGAGGGCTGGGGCTGGGGCTGGGGGCTCTCGGGGCCCAGTCTTTCTCTCACCACCTTTCTTGGTCTCACCAGGGTGCTGCCGCCGCAGGTACAGGCTGAGGTGTAGAAGATACTAATTGCACAAAATAGCACGTCCACCAAACTCCTGCCTGAGAATTTTACCAGACTTCACGACCCTCTTGCCACATCTTGAAAACGCCACCATCCAATGAAAATCAGGAGCCTGCTAAGGAACAATGCCGCCTGTCAATAAATGTTGAAAAGTCATCCCACTCTTGTCTCCTTGTCCTTGAGAGGGTAGGCTCAGGGGGCAGGAGGGCTCAGGGATGAGCAGAGGGGGAAAGGGCCTGGGCATGCGACAGGGGAAAGATGTCGGTGGAGGGGACATGAGAGACAGTTTTCACGCCGGGTTTTGTTACAAACTCTTTTTTTTTTGAGAGGGAGTCTCAATCTGCTGCCCAGGCGGCAGTGCAGTGGCGCGATCTCGGCTCACTGCAAGCTCCGCCTCCTGGGTTCATGCCATTCTCCTGCCTCAGCCTCCCGAGTAGCTGGGACTACAGGCGCCGCCACCACGCCCAGCTAATTTTTTGTATTTTTAGTAGAGACGGGATTTAACCGTGTTAGCCAGGATGGTCTCGATCTCCTGACCTCATAATCCACCTGCCTCAGCCTCCCAAAGTGCTGGGATTACAGGCGTGAGCCACCGCGCCCAGCCATTGTTCCAAACTCTTAGTAGTACCAACAAGTCACAACCAACATCTGCCTCCCCAAGTCACAAACAGAACCAATCTCCCAATTCACAACCAGAATCTGCCTCCCAAACTCTCTTAACAGATCCCTACCCAGTGGGGTGCTGTAGCCAGGTCTCTCGAGTTTGAGGACCCACTGTGTACATTTCCGCACTCTGCTTGGTGACCTCATCTTGGCAGCTTGAAATGGACCATGGAGTATTTACAGAAATTAGCAAATGCTACAAATCTGGGTTCCCTCCATCCCTGGAACCCCAAAGCCAGTTAAACATTTACCAGTTGGAACTCAAGATTGAACCAGCTCATCCTATCTGACCTGTCCCCTAGCTGCCCACCCCGGTAGCTGAAATTTCCATTCTTCAACAAAGGAACTCTTAGGTTAAAACTTAAATAGATTAAGCCAGTCACCATCAGGAAAATTAAATTCAAAACTGTTTACTCCTCATTCCGTGCTAGAAGTTTTCAGCCCCATTTGCGTACAGAGATAACTTGTCCAGGTAGCAGCGGACCTGAACTTTTCACATTTAATCAAGTGCCATTAAGGAAGTTTCTTATCTGCCATCCTGTAAACTCAAACATTTTTGTTAACCACTGGTTTCTTTACTCTTTGGGGCACAGTTTCACAGCGTTATGTCCACTTGAGGAAACAAAGGTTAACTTGTCCGTCGGATCGGACCTAAGTCCACACTCAAGCCGTATGATATACTACCTATACTAAAATTTCTGAGGCAAGGGTTTAAGACCCCAGTGAGATTTGGGGAAGGATCAGGAGTGAAGCAGCCACCCAGACACAAGAAATCCTAATGGGCACTGGTCTACTTGGCTCACTCACAGCCTAGGAAAGCCCACCTCTCCGATTCCTTGACACAGGCCCTGGGTCACAGTCATTTCACGATGGTAGAGCAAACCCAAAGCATTTCAGCAGAGACCAGAGGCTCTGAGACCCAGTTCTCTGAAGTGACAGGGCCCACCAAGCACCTCAGAAATGTCACGGTATGACTTCTGTTTATGGGGCACCAACTGTGTGCCTGGTATTCTGCATAAATCACTTCCTTTTTTTTTTTTTTTTGAGACAAGGTCTCTCTCTGTCACCGAGGCTAGAAGAGAATGCAGCGGCGCAAACACAGTTCACTGCAGCCTCAACCTCCTGGGCTCAAGTGATTCCCCTACCTCAGCCTCCTGGCCTCCTGAGTAGCTGGGACCACAGATACGCATGACCATGCCTGGCTAATTTTTCTAATCTTTTTGTAGAGATGAGGTCTCACTTTGTCGCCCAGGCTGGTCTCAAACTCCTGGGCTCAATGATCCTCCCACCTTGGCCTCTCAAAGTGCTAGGATTACAGGTGTGAGCCACCACACCCAGCCCCTTCTTATTTTATTTTATTTTATTTTTTTAGATGAAGTTTCGCTCTTGTTGACCAGGAGTGCAATGGTGCCATCTCAGATCACTGCAACCTCTGCCTCCTGGGTACAAGCAATTCTCCTGCCTCAGCCTCCCGAGTAGCTGGGATCACAGGCGCCCGCCACCACGCCTGGCTAATTTTTGTGTATTTAGTAGAGATGGGGTTTCACCATGTTGACCAGGCTGGTCTTGAACTTCTGATCTCAGGTGATCCACCTGCCTTAGCCTCCCAAAGTGCTAGGATTATAGGTGTGAGCCACCATGCCCTGCTCCACCCCTTCCTATTTTCATCAGCAAGCTCTGGCCATGAAGATTTGACTTAGCAGGACGTAGTAAGGCCTCAGCATTTATATTTTTAACACGTGCCCTAGAGAGCTTGAGGGCCATTATAAAGGACCTTCTTATCCCCAAAGAGAGGCAGCACAGAAACACCAAGGGTCGGGCAATATCACCCATCACCTCCTGCAAGGATCTGAAGATTAAGCCTTCTGAATTTGTTTCCTATTGCTGCTGTGACAGATCACCACAAATTTTGTAGCTTTAACAACATAAATGTATTATCTTACAGGTCTGCAGTTCAGAATTCTGAAAGAAGTCTCATGGGGCTAAAATCAAGGGGTCAGCAGGGCTGTGTTCCTCCTGGATGCACCAGGGGAGGATAACCCATTTCCTTATCCATCCCAGCTTCTAGAGGCTGCCTGCATTCCTTGGCTTGTAGCCTCTCCCTCCATCTTCAAAGCCAGCAGTGTGGCATCTCTGAATTTCTCTTCCTATGAGCTTCCTGCCTCCCTATCCTCTCTTCTAAGGGCCTTTGTGACTGTACTGGGCCAGCCCAGATCATCAAGGATGATCGCTACATCTTCAGGTCCTTAAATTTGTGTATCTGCCATATTCCCACATTCTCCCTGCCCTCCACGAAAGGGAAACTGGTTTTGCAGTTTTTCTGTGATTCTGATCCTAGACTTTAATGGGATCATCAAAGTTCAATGAGAAGCCCTGGCAAGGCGGAGCAGGATGGGAGAAGATGCATATTTTAGAGGCAGAGAGGGGAGCATCCCCTGGGCTAGGGAGTAGGTGGAGAGCCAAGGGTATGACTAAAACCAGGCTGTCTCCGTCTGAATGCTGGCCCGGCCTGGCCTTCTCAGCAGAGTGGCCTTGAGCAACTCAACGTCTTCATGCCTATTTACCCCACAGAAAATGGGGATTGTAAGAGTGAGGAATGCCAGGGTGGTGGCTCACACCTGTAATCCCAGCAGTCTGGGAGGCTGACATGGGAGGCTCACTTGAGGCCAGGAGTATGAGACCAGCCAGGGCAATATGGTGAAACCCTATCTATCTCTACAAAAAATACAAAAAATTAGCTAGGAGTGGCAGCACACGCCTATAGTCCCAGCTACTCGGGAGGCTGAGGTGGGAGGATCATCTGAGCCGGAGGGGTAGAGGCTGCAGTGATCTATGATTGCACAACTGCACTCCAGCCTGGGCAACAGATACTGTCTCAAAAAAAAAAAAAAGAGAGAGAGAGAGAGAGAAAATGAGTGAATGTCTGGGAAATAAATGTATCAATGCTTGGCACATAGGAGTTATTAGGGAACTGTTTGCTGCTGTTACCATCTTAACAGTAAACTGTGTGCACAGAGAGCCAAGCATGTAAGTCCCTTCCACATGGCAGCTATGGCACAGCAGCAAGTTGGCAAGGAAGCTTCCAACTGACAGTGTGCGTGCCCACCGGCTTGCGGGGATGAGGGCTTGCATTAGACAAAAAAACACCTGCCATCTGTATGGTTGCACCTGCTGCAAGAGACAGAGGACACACTTTACAGGCAAGGCAAGGGGGTCTCTCACCCTTCCAGCCCTGCAGCTTGGGTGCCAGGGCCCTGCTAGCTGTGACCCCTGGCCCTGTGCTGCCCTCACAGAGGAGGCTGGGCAGGGTGGGGTCGGGGCGGGGCCGCCGAGTCATAGTGGGCGCCCCCTTTATATACAAGCTTCCGGGGAGCCTCGCAGACCAGACCAATAGTAACACCAAGGGCAGGTGGGCAGGCCTCAGCCCTCCTCCCCCACCCCAGGGCCCACTGCAGCCTCAGCCCAGGAGCCACCAGCTCTCCCAACACCATGGTCCGATACCGCATGAGGAGCCTGAGCGAACGCCCGCACGAGGTGCACGGGCAGCAGGTGCATGGGCAAGACCAAGGACACAACGGCCAAGAGGAGCAGGGGCTGAGCCCGGAGCACGTCGAGGTCTACGAAAGGACCCACCGAGGCCACTCTTACCATAGGCGCAGGCGCTGCTCTCGAAGGAGGCTGCACCGGATCCACAGACAGCGGCATCGCTCCTGCAGAAGGCGCAGAAGACGCTCCTGCAGGCACCGGAGGAGGCATCGCAGAGGTCTGCCTGCACCCCCGCCTTGCCCTGCATGCCCCTGACCATCCCAGGCACAGGAGGGAGGCTGGGACCCACCCCACCTGGCAAAGGCTCCAGCCCCCAACCCCCATCCCCACCCAGAGTCCCTAGGTGCCTCCCTCAACCAGAACTTTTTCCCAAAAGGCTGCAGAACCAGGAGGAGAAGATGCAGAAGGCACTAAGCTTCTTGGGCCCCTCACCCCCGGCTGGAAATTAAGAAAAAGTCACCTGCCCAAGAAACACCAAGTGAGGCCATAGCAATTCCCCTCCATCAAATGCTCAAGCCCCCAGCTGGAAGAGAAAGTCACCTGCCCAAGAAACACCAAGTGAGGCCATAGCAACTCCCCTACATCAAATGCTCAAGCCCTGAGTTGCCGCTGAGAAGTCCACAAGATCTGAGTGAAATGAGCAAAAGTCACCTGCCCAATAAAGCTTGACAAGACATTGCTGGCCTGTTGGGTTTCCTTTGCGCGAATCACATTTCCTTTGCATGAATCACACAAACCTGGATTCCCTCATGCCCAGGGTGGGTAGAGGCTTCTCTGCAGTCCTTCCTCAGGGGCGGGTAGGGCAGGAGCTCTGCCGCTCTGAGGGCACCTAGGAGAGGGTTACTGTGCCTGGGAGGCCACCCTGTGATGCTGTCCTGTCTATTGCACATCGTTCCATGGAGTCAAAGGCCACATTAGTCTGTCTGGATCCCCCTCCAGTGAAAAACCTGATCCTACCCCATGAAAGGAGAAAATGGTTAGAACAGATTGAGCCCTAATTAAGTCACAAAGATGTCAAGGCACCTTGTGGCCATATTTAAAAGGCTTTCTGTGTGCCACAGTTTAAAAACACAGATGTTGGGTCGTTGGAAGTATAAGGAAGTGTAAACGGTGGGGGCAGAGGAGCAGTACAGGCAATGGCTTCAAGGTGGGGAGCAGGTCTGGCGTGCTCCAGCAACAACTTGGTCAGCACAGAGGGGGCAAAAGGCAAGGAGTAGATGAATGCAGAGTAATGGGCTGGGCTGTGTGAAGCCTGTGCTGGCTGACGCCTCTGGAGACCCAGTGAGAATGTGATCCTTCCTGCTTCCTCTCCTCGGCCTGTGGCTACATCACTCCTGTCTGAAATCAAGGATCCTTGTGATTGCACTGAGGGACTTTCTGGACAACCCAGGATAACCTCCCCATCTCACAATCCTAACATCATAGATTCCAGGATCAGGATTGGCATTTAGCCAACCACAGCCACTGAGGACTGCGGGAATAAAACTGGCAAGATCCAATCCATATGTTGGAAAATGGATTCCTGGTGCTCAGAAATGACCAATTTTTAAGAGGCAATGAGTTTCTGAAAAAAATACAAAAATATATATATATATAAAATATTAAAATATATATATTTATCTTTTATATATATATATATTTTTTTTTTTTTTGAGATGGAGTTTTGCTCTTGTCACCCAGGCTGGAGTGTAGTGGTGTGATCTTGGCTTACTGCAACCTGCACCTCCTGGGTTCAAGTGATTCTCCTGCCTAACCTCCTGAGTAGCTGGAGGAGCTTTAAAAAAATATTTTGGGGGTATTTTTAGTAAAGACGGGGTTTCACGATATTGGCCGGGCTGGACTCGAACTTCTGACCTCAGATGACCCACCTGCCTCACCTCGCAAAGTGCTGGGATTACAGGTGTGAGCCACCATGCCTGGCCTGAAAAAATTTTAATTTAATACCACTGCAGTGTACAAAAGACTCATTTCAATGTATAAAAGACAAAGTCCTAAAACCGCTCCCCGCATGCTGAAATGGTGCCACACAGATGGGGAACCTTGCCAAGACTTCAAAGAGACCTGTGGCCCTAAAACACTTAAGAGGTTGTCACTCCACCCTGACCTGGGCAGAGTGGCATCTGGTTGGTGGTGTCCATCTTGCATCAGTCAGGGACAAAGCAACCCCTTGTTCATCTCAGCTTGGTTTCTGGCCTGTGCCCATGCCTTGGACAAACAGAAAAAGCTTAGGAGCCGTTGCTTTTCAAGAAGATTTCACACTTTCAGGCCCCCGAAGGAAGAGTTCCAAGGGTTTCTGAGTTTTATGAAGGCAGAGCTTACAGAGTGCATACACTTTAAGCACACAGCTTGATGATTTATTTCCAAGCGTCAGCAGTCAAGAAACTCAACAGAGACAGCTCTCTCTGGCTGGCGATTTCTGGGATGTGGGGAGGAGTCTGTGTGTGCCCCTCCTGCTTCTAGAAATTCAATCTCTAACTCCCATCCCAGCTACAAGCGAAACTTTCTCCAGGGCAAATGAGGTCTATGGTGTCGGCATCCGCACTGGCCCCAGTGCTCAGCCTTGCAGACCTTCCCTGTGAGGGCTGGCAGCTGCCAGTGGCTGAGGCCTGAGTTAGCTGTTGGCTCAGACCCAGGTTCCCAAGGGGGGCGGGCTCCCTTTGTGATGTCAGCATCCTGCCCCCACTCACAGCTCCTTCACCAACCACCTCACCTCCTTGTCCAGAGAGACAGGCAACGTGAACCATGGGTTCCCGCTGTGCCAAGCTCAACACAGGCCACAGCACAGGCCACAGCACAGGCCACAGCACAGGCCACAGTATGGGCCACAGCATGGGCCATGGCCGGGGCCACGAATCCTCCATGAAGAAGCTCGTGGCCTGCGTCAGTCAAGATAACTTCTCCTTGTCATCAGAGGGTGAGGAAGAGGAGGAAGAGGAGGAGGAAGGGGAAGAGGAGGAGGAAGAAGAGCTGCCAGTGCAGGGCAAGCTGCTGCTGATGGAGCCTGAGCGGCAGGAGGAGGGCCAGGAGGACAACGCCGAGGCCCAGAAGAGCCCCGAGCCCAAGCAGACACACTCCTGACCCGCGACGAAGGCCCAGGAAGGGACACCCACTGCTGCTCCGGCGACAGCATTCAGAGAAGAGTCAATAAAAAGTCTCTGAGGAATCCTCCCTGTCTCTGGTTTCCCCTCACCCTATCCCTTCTGGTCCCACGTGTGCATGTGTGTGAATGCATGTGTGTGGGTGCACGTGGAGGGAGGCCAGCTGCCAAGGAAGGCTGAAGAGCGGGGCTCGGTGACCTTGTTCCCAAGCCCCAGCCAGAGGTTCAGGGGCTTTGGGAGGGGGAGATCATCTCAGCCGAATCTTCCTGTCTCTGGGACAGGGGAAATTCCTCTTCTAGTCTCAGCACACCCCAACTGAGGGCACCCAGCAGGACAGGGTAACTGCCTTCATCGCAGTCCCCACGGTGCCGCCCCAACCATGGGCAGTCTTTAAGAACACTGGCTTGGGAGTTCAGCAGACCTGGGTTCAAATTTCTTTTCTGCTAGCTGCGTGCCCTTGAGCAAGTCACTGGGTGTCTTTGAGCCTCAGCCCGCCCCTCCTGGCATTTGGGGGAAGCTAATAGCTACTCATGGGTCACCTGATCAGGCGAATTAGCTTAAGGGCTGGGTGGGACCAGGCCTGGCACCAGTCAGTGCTGAACTATGACAGGGATTGTTGCTGGGGTCATGGTGGTTCCCTCTGGGTCCTTTTTGGCTGCGGACTCTTCCACTGCGAGTCTACGCTGCTGGCGACCATCTGCACCCCTATCTGAAAGCTCACTCCTGCCTTCTTCAAGGGGTCTAGCCCTGGGGGCAGAGACAGTGCCCCATGAGAGCAGTAGGCAAAAGAGGCCCAGGGAGGCGACTGGGTACAGATGCTGAGCCTAGGCCCCATCCTCTCGCTCCGGGCTCAGTGCGCTTTCTGCAAGGAGCTTCCGAACACGTCTGCCGCCCACCCTACCACCGGCTCCTCCCTCACTCCTTCCACCCCAAAGAAGCGACAAATGTGATCTCCGCCACATTCCCTCACAGTCCTCCAAGCACCAGCCACCTTGAGCTAATTCTCCTGATCAGCTGATCCCCTGTCCCTGAGAGGATCCTAGTTGGTACTGTGGCAGTGGGGCTGGGGGCTGGGGGATTTTCAGGGAAGCCTCGGTTTCTCTGGGGTCCATGTTTGAGGGTAGGAAGGGGCCTTGGGCTACCCTGAGGAGAGGCCACTGCTCTGCCCTGCAATGGCCTAGGGCAGAGGAGGCCCTGTTACCCCAATACTCCCAGCCCCACAAATGACTCGGTTGGTCAGCTTTGTCCTTTTGTCCAAGGCCCGAAGGTCCACCCGCCCATTCATTTGCCCAGGAAACATGAGCCGAGCCCCCGTTGTATGCCCCACAAGATGCTAGTCACTAGGGGACCTGGTATTAATAAAACGCAGTCCCTGCCGTCCTGGGAGAGAGTTCACGGTCACAGGTGCGAGGGCAGGTATGTGACGTGCCGCACACCTGCTGCTGGGAGAGGTCAGCCCTCCCTGGGAGGACTGGAAAGGTGTGTGGAGGAGAGGCTGGTTGATGGCAGGCCACGGTCTCCATTCTAGGCTATGTGCTTGAGGGTTGGGGAAGTGGGGCGTTGGCAGTGCAGGAGCAGCAGGCCATGGGAAGAGGGGTCCAGAGACCCAGAGAGTCTTCACGGCTTGGTCTAGCGCACACCCCACAACCGGACCTGCTGAGCCCACCCGAGGCAGGGCCCTGAGAACCCTGCCGCAGGTGTCCCTCTGATCACGGAGAATCCCTTACTGACCCTGAGAGGCAGCCAGACCTGAATATGACTGGCTCTGTCCCTGATCGGCCAAGGGACTCTGGGCTGGTTACTCCACCTCTCTGAGCCTGTTCCCTCTTTGCTAAACGCAATCATTGTACCTGCCTCACGGGGTGCATTAGTTTCCTGGGGCTGCCATACCAAATGGCCACAAACTTGGTGGCTAAAACAACAGAAATGTATTCTCTGCAGTTCTGGAGGCTGGAAGTCCAAAGTCGAGGTGTCAGCTGGGCTGATCTCCCTCCCGCGGCCTTAGCAGAGAATCCTTCTTTGCCTCCTCTAGCTCACAGACCTCCAAGCTTGTCTCCATCTTTACATGGTTTCCTCTTCTCCCTGGGTGACACCTCTTCTGTCTCTCATAAGGACGTTTGTCTGGATTTAGGGCCCACCCTAAATCCAATGCTAAGCCAACATGCTTATCTCAAGATTCTTAGCTTAATTACATCTGCAAAGACGCCTTTCCCAAATATCGCACTGATAGGTTCTAGGAGTTAAAACGTGGACATAGATTTTTGGGGGCTGCCATTCAGTCCACTACAAAGGGTCACTGTGAGGTCTGAGGGCAAAGCTGCCTGGAGAGGGTGAGGCCCAGAGCACAATCATGTAGAAAGCATTCAGTAAATGAAAGCAGTTCTCACTGTGAGAAATTTGACATGTTTATTCAGAAATAAACTGCAAAGGCTGGGCATATTGGCTCAGGCCTGTAGTCCCAGCACTTTGGGAGGCCAAAGCAGGAGGATATCTTGAGTTCATAAGTTCAAGACCCACCTAAGCAACAAAGTGAGACTCCCATCTCTACAAAAAAAAAAAAAATAGACAGGTGTGGTGGCATGCACCTGTAGTCACAGCTACTCAGGAGGCTGAGGTGGGAGGATCGCTTGAGTCCAGGAGGTGGAGGCTGCAGTGAGCTGTAATAATGCCACGGCACTCTAGCCTGGGCAACAGAATAAGACCCTTTCTCAAAAAAGAAAAAGAAAAAAACTTCCATAAAAGCAGATGATTGCAAATCCTCAGAGCAAGAGGCAAAGTTGCACGTGGGCAGAGTGAGAGGTTGGCTTGGGCTTGGGGCCTGCTCAGGGAGGGGAGACAGAGACAGAGGGAGTTCCATGCAGAGACAAGTGGGAAAGTACAGGCCAAGGGCTAAGCTCAAAGGCATCGGCCAAGACAGGGACGGGTGGAGGGCTCTGGATAGAAACCCAAAGACTAGAAGATCAAATGGCCTGGTGTTCAAATACAAGTCTGGGCTTTCTTCTAGAGGTGCTGGAGTGTTTGAGCAGGGACGGCATGATTCAAACGGTATGGCGAGGCTTCGTTAGCAGGGACGGGAAGAGAATCAAGAGGCAGAAACTGAAGGAGAGAGATGGGCTTCCAAGGACCTCCTGTAGCTTGACAAGCATCTTAGGCTCACAAGAATACCAGGAAAGAACCAAAGACACCCCTTTGTCACATAAGGCAACTAAGCCTCAGAAACCACAATGGCCTACCCAAGATTGAACATCAGTGCAAACTTGGATTTGAACCTGGCTCTGAATCTCTTGACTTTAGATCTGGCTAGGGAGGTAGGCTTGCCGGGCGAGCCCCAGGACCACCCCTTGGACCATGTGGTTACTCATCCATCCACCAAGCCATCTGGCCAATTCATCACCTCCCCATCATCTGGGCACTAATCATCTGTCTTAACAACTGCCCACCATTCAGCTGCCATCACCAGGGTCAGGGCTGCACTCCTGGCACCCAAGCTGCCCAGGAAGTTAAGAAAAAGACCTGACGATGCTGGTCAGTGATGTTTACTGAGCTCTTATTGTGGGCTGGGCCTGAGCTAACTGCTTGATATAAATTCTCTCCTTTATTAATAATTCTTCTAATGTCTGAATGAGGTCAGTACAATTATTGTCTCTATTCTGCAGAGATGGGGAAACTGGGACTTCTTCAGGCGAATCCCCAGGGCTGACCATGTAGAAAAAGCAGATCTGGGATGCAGACTCAGCTTAATCTGACCCAAGGGCTCCTACCCTGAACCAGCAGCTGGGACTACCCCCAGGGTACCTCTGAGGGCTGCCCCAGCCTGGGGGTGAGGGTAAGGGGTAGGGGGCTTTGTCTTGGCTGGGCCACATCTGTCACACCGCTGTGGCCTGTGCCATCATAATCAGCCCCAACTATATAACCAGGGGCTGCCAGGGCCTCTGTAAAGCTAGGCCTGCTGGGAGAGGACGAGGAGGAGGCCCTGCCCCTCCAAACGTGGCCTCCTATGGACACCAAGACTCACAGCCTTCCTATCACCCACACCCAGCTCCACAGCAACTCTCGGCCCCAAAGCCGCAGCCAGTGCACCTGCACCCACCACTGCCAGACCTTCAGCCAGAGTTGCAGAGAGAGCCAGCGTGGCAGCCGGAGCCGGAGTTTCAGCCAGAGCCCGGCTACCCACCAGAACCCAACCGGAGCCCACAGCTCATCCGGCTGCCAGAGCCAGAGTCCCAACGCCAGCCCACCACCAAAGCGCCACAAAAAGACCATGAACTCCCACCACTCTCCCACGCGGCCCACCATCCTGCACAGCAGCTGCCCCAAGAACAGAAAGAACTTGGAAGGCAAGCTGAACAAGAAAAAAATGGCCAAGAGGATCCAGCAGGTGCACAAAACCCAGAAGCGGAGCTCAGGTATCCTTTAAGGAGGTGGGAAGGGCCACAGAGCCCACAGATGATGGGGAGCAGACCTTGGGGGCAGTGAGAGGAAGGCTGCAGCCAGGTCACAGAGGAACCACAGGCAAGGGTGAAGAGGGAGAAGAGAAACAATGACAGTTGGCTAGTATGATATGTTGATTGACGGACAGGTTCTTTGGATAAATTGGATGGGTTGATTAGGAGGATGGAAAGATTAGCTAGATGGAAGCATGAATTGGGTTGAGAGGTTGGGTGGATGACTGGGCGGGTAAATAATAAATAGGTAATAGGATAGTTGGAAGAATGCATTGGTTGAATGATAGGAAGTTTGGATGTGATTAGCTGGACGGATGAATAAATGGATGAATGCACTGGTTCACTCGTTATTGGTTGGTTAGGTAGATGATTAGTTGGAAGAATATGGTTGGTGGACATGAATTGGTTGGATATAGAGTTAAATAGATGTAAAAGTTTTGATGGGTTGATCTGATTGGTTAAATAATGGTTGGCTAGGTAGGCTAGTTTAGATGAAGGGATGATGTTGATAAATTTATCTTAATAGAGTAATATAGAGTAATTGAATGAACTAATAGATGGAAGAATAGATATCTAGACTAATGGGATAGAATGGGAAAGAAATGTTGAATAAATGAATGGAATGGGTGAACTAATGAATAGATGGATGACAAATGGAAGGGATAAATGGATGGATAGATGGATTCACATAGGTCAAAAGGACACTGACGGTAGTCTAAACTCTATCTATGCCCCATATTCAATCACAAATGAGTAGCTGTAAGACCCACAGGAGGTCAGTGACTTCATGAAGTCCTCAGCTATTAAAAGTTCCTTTCCCACTCTTATCCCTTAGGACGGAAATCCAACAAATGACACTGCACTCCTTGGCTTGTTCCTGCGTGTTTCACCCAAATGAGAAACGCTATCATGCATAGAATGCTAGGATGAAGTCAATCTTCTTGCAGGAACATGTTACTATGGTGATTTCTACGCAACACTAATTAAAGCTTGTACCCTGGAAGACTATCCCTGAGTAGTCGTTTTAGAGTCATTTTGATTTCACTAATAAAGGCGTTGTGTTTTGGGGGCCTGCACGGGGCAGAAATGAATGGGGGTGAGATGCCAAGAAGCCTGCAGAGTCCACTTTGCTTGGATAACAATCTTTTGCCCTGTACACTCCCACATGGGTGTGTACATATGTGGACACATAAGATGCGCACAGGTCCATACTCTATTCATGTGATCCACATGTATGTAGCCCAAGGAGACAGGAAGAGGGGTTCAGAATGTGCCTTTTGCAATCCAGAGCATCCTGAGTTTGAATCCTGGCTCGTCTTTCGTACATGCTGTGTGACCTTGAACTGTGACCAACCTCTGAGCCTCACTTGCTGATTCTGTAATATAGTACCAACCTCAAGGTTCCTCAAAGCGGCCATTTCAATCAACTTTTACTAAGGGACCAAAGACTGTTCAGGGGCTGTGCTGGGCTCTGGGAACAGAACTAGAGAACACACAAGGCCCTGCCCTCATGGAACTTACAGTCCAAACACAAGACTTGTCAGAATGAGCTGTATCAAGGGAACAGGGTGATGTCATGTCCCCGTGAGGGAATGAGCCTGGGTTAGAACTTGTGTTCCAGAGGAGCTGGCATAGAATCTGAAGGTGCTGGGACATGAGCTGGGACCATCTCACTCTGTCACCCAGGTTGGGGGTTAGTGATACAATCATGGCTCACTGTAGCCTCGATCTCCCAGGCTCAAGCCATTCTCCTGCTTCAGGTTCCTGAGTAGCATGACATGTACCACCATGCTTAGCTATTTTTGACTTCTCGCTCTGTTGCCCAGGCTGGAGGGTAGTGGCGCCATCTCAGCTCATTGTAACCTCCGCCTCCTGGGTTCAAGCGATTCTCCTGCCTCAGCCTCCCGAGTAGCTGGGATTACAGGCGCCCACCACACCTGGCTAATTTTTATGTTTTTTTTCCCCACTGTGTAGGCGTTCTGTCACTGCTTTTAATTTTTATTTCATTTTACTTTAAGTTCTGGGATACATGTGCTGAACGTGCAGGTGTGTTACATAGGTATACATGTGCCTTGGTGGTTTGCTGCACCTGTCAACCCGTCATCTAGGTTTTAAGCCCTGCGTGCACTAGGCATTTGTCCTAATGCTCTCCCTCTCCATTCCCCCCACACCCCAATTTTTGTATTTTTTTAGTGGAGACGAGGTTTCACCATGTTGGTCAGGCTGGTCTCAAACTCCTGACCTCAAGTGATTCACCCGCCTTGACCTCCCAAAGTGCTGGGATTACAGGTGTGAGCCACCATGCCCGGCCACCTGGTGTGTTTTCAAAGTGGTGCGGCTGCTATGTGGAGGCTGGATTGCAGGGGATGCGACAGGGTACAGCAATTGGCAGAATGGCAGCCTGGTCTAGCGGAGAGATTTTCCACAACAGGTGGGCCGGAGGTTCCTCCCAAGATAATGCCCAAAGTCCTGCCTTCCTCATTCCTCTTGTGCAAACATTTACTGAGCACCCACTTGTGCGGGCTTTGGGCTAATGCCAAGGAGGGAAGATAAGGGTGAACCAGACAGAACCCTGCTTCCAAGTAGATATGGAGACAGCTATGGACATCAATCTTAGGAAAACCTGCTCTCATCTGCAAAATGGGCACCCTTGCTGGGGGACTGGGAGAGGTCAGTGTGTCATGCATGTGACATGGTGTCTGGGCTCAGTGCTTGGCACTCAGTAAACCTCTGCTATTAATATGGCATAAAAAGTACCAGGCATCCCAGCACTTTGGGAGGCCGAGACGGGCGGATCACGAGGTCAGGAGATCAAGACCATCCTGGCTAACACGGTGAAACCCCGTCTCCCTTAGCTCAAAAAAATACACTAAAAACATAGCCCGGAGGCGAGGTGCAGGCGCCTATAGTCCCGCCTACTTCAGGAGGGCTGAGGCAGAAGAATGGCATAAATCCAGAGGCGGAGCTTGCAGTGAGGCTGAGATTCGGCCACTGCACTCCAGCCTGGGGAACAGAGCGAAGAACTTCCGTCTTCAAAGAACCAAAAAAAAGTACCAGGCAAGATTTTCGCGAGGAACACGGCTGCCAGAGCTGAAATGGACTGGGGAAATCGGTGCAGGGTCTTGTGTAATTGCGGCTTTTCTGACCATGCATGACCACCACAAACCAGCCTTAACAGGTTATAATAAAAGGTACAGACTAAACAAAGTTTGCATCTGGTTCAATCACTAATACCCATAATAGCATGAAAAGAGAAATCATGAGACAGGAACTAAGACAGTCACTCTGAGCTCACTACCATCCTCCTGGTCTAATGGGCTCACTATTCTGACATGCTGGGGGGCGGGGTACCCGGCCAGGCCTCGTGTGTGACAAGCGTTGCCCGGGCACAGCAACCAGACACAGGGTCAGCTTTTTTTTCTTTTGTGCTGCATTTGGCTTTGGGCTGAATCGAAACGGGGTGAGCCAGGTGGAAGGCGGGGTGGGGCAGGGTAGAAATGAGTGGTGATGGGGTGTCTGCAGGGGAGGGAAATGGACCCAGGTGTCTTGGGAGGCCTTGCAGGATTCCAAGCTTTGCTGAGCCTGTCCGCAGGCAGCGCATGACATGGAAGTCCTCTTTCAGATCTCAGCTGTGTGGCCTTGAGCAAGTCATGTCCCCGTCTACATCCTCTCGTCTTTTCTGTAAAAATGGGAGGCTAACAGTGCCTCCCTGGAGGGGGTCCTGGTGGGATTCATTGAGATAATGCACCTGCAACGCATCCAACAGAGGGGCCTGGTCCATCTGACCAATGTCACTCAATGTCACTGTCAGTCTCCTTTCCTTGGGTCCTTTATCCTCCCCTCACAGCAGGGAAAGGTTCCAGGCTGTTTCTATGAAGGGAGGGGTGCGGCGAAGCACTTCTATATGGCTCAGGAATTACATTTATTGAGCACCCTACTCGATGCCCATGTCTTGAACTAAATGTCCCACGGAATCCACACTCCTCAACAAGAGACATTATTGGTCCACTGTTACAACGATGAAGAAGCTGAGACTCAGAGGTGAAATAACTTGGTCAAGGACTCCTGGCAAGCAGGTCTGAGATAAGACATTCATGTTTTGTCCAAAACTTCCTGGTTCCCAGCTGAAAATGTAAGGCCACATTAAGCCATGACAGTCACTGACACATCAGTGCAAGAGTTTGGGAGGCCCTTCTGGGGAACACATTTTGAAGCAGGAAGTGGAGACAGGGATAGACATAAAGTCAGGGACTTTGAGCTCCACTCACCAAAGGACCTCCCTGCTTCCTGGGCAGTGTCCTTTTATGATATGATTACTGAAGGCAGATCTTTTATTATAAGCTGATGGACTGGCTCACGCGTGTGGCTTATGGACCTATCTTTAACTCCACATTTCCCTGAAACCAACACCAACACGAGCAACACAAAACTGGCGCAAACACGGATAGTCACATACACAATCACAACTCACCGGAATCTCGAACTCCTGGTCACATATGCAAAGAAGCGGCCGTTCAAACCCACTCAGACACAGAGACCCACATTCACATGTGGACCCCAAATACACACACACCCCCCGCTACACATGCATGCAGGCTCTCAGTCACCTCCCCCGACCCTTCCCACAGGAAACACATACGTAAGCAAGCACTCACAATACACACCACCCTTGTACAGTCAGATGCACGGTGATGACAGGAAAAAAAAATCCAACCACAGATTCACGCTTTCACTTACTTGGCTTGGGGTGGCTGGCAGTAGGTTGGGGACAGGCCTGCTGGAGACCCAAATTCAGGAAATGGAGACAGACAGACAATAAATCCAGCCAGCAAGATAGTATGCGGGTTCTGAAGATGATCTATCTTGATACTCAGAGATTTAATTTCAGTGGGCTACTGGGGAATGAGGTGAGGTCTGGGGAACAGTGAGGTGCAGCCTGACCTGTGGTGGGGTTACCTGCAGGGCTGTCACTCCTGAGGGTCTGAGGGATCACCAAGGGGAAACGCAGGGGTCCCGGGTTGAGGAAGGAGTGGGGAATGGAGCGCTCAGACGAGAGGGCAGACCCTGGCAGAGATGCCCATGTGAGCTATGATTCAAGAGGAAAAATATCTCAAACCCTGTAGTCACACAGACCCAGTTTCAAATCCCAACTCCCCCATTCCCTGGCTGGGTGACCCCAGGACTATTCCTCAACCTCTCTGAGTCTCAGGTGCATCTCACACTTTGTAAAGAGAACCGAGGAGGCCCTGCTTTTCACTGCTGCATCTCTAGGACTTAGCACAGTGCCTAGCACATACTAGGTGTGCAGTAAATATTTGTTTAGTAGATGAAAGAAGGAGCAGGCATTAAAGCAACAACAAGAAGCCATCACTTACCAATTCATCAAATAGGTAAAAATGGAAAAAGTATGATAATGGCGAAGGCATGGGGAAACACTGTTGAACGCTTTTGCCCAGAAGGTAAATGTGCACAGCACGCTGGCAGGCGACTGGGTGGCGCCTATGAACATTCAAACGGTAAGAACGGTTTATCACATGTGTGCCAAGAGGCTGTACAGGGAGCTGCAGGCCACGTTGTTTGCAAGAGCAAAAAAACAACCTATGTGTCCGCCCACCAGGGATGGCTAAATGAACATACGCTGAGGAGTACCATGCAGTTCTTAAGGAACCTGGGGTCGATCTATACGTGATCTAGCCAGATCTAGCCAGATTGTTGGGGGGAAAGGGCAAGATGGAGAAAGACATGACATTGATAGAGGGAAAAGTCCTACACAAAGGAATACTTTTTTTTTTTTTTAAATAATTGGGATCTTGCTCTGTCACCCAGGCTGGAGTGCAGTGGCACAATCACAGCTCACAGCAGTCTCGAACTGACCACAAGTGATCCTCCCAGCTCGACCTCCCAAAGTGCTAGGATTACAGGCATGAGCCACCATACCGGGCCAAGGGACATCATTTTTATGGGTCAAAATACAAGCATGTAGATGCACAGAAAAAGATCTCAGGGTGGCAGCAGTGGCTTATGCCTATAATCTCAGCGCTTTGGGAGGCCCAGGCGGGAGGATCACTTGAGGCCACAAGTTTGAGACCAGCCTAGGAAACAAAGTGAGACTCTGTCTCCCTAAAAATGAAAAAATAAGCCAGGCATGGCAGTGTGCGCCATCTACACGGGAGGCTGAATCAGGAGGATTGCTTGAGCACCGTGGGGGTGGGGGTGTCAAGGCTGCAGTGAGCTGTGTTCATGTCACTGCACCCCAGCCTGAGTGACAGAGGGAGACTCAGTCTCAAAATATAAAAATAAAAATAAAAATAAAAAAGATCCCAAAGAACAGACTGAGCTGGTGCCTGGGCTACCTTTGGGAAGGAAAACTGAAGGAAAAAGAGGACAAAAAAGGAATGAGCATTAGTGAATGTGTCTAATGGGTGCTCAGCGAAGCTCTGTTGAATCCGGAGAGGCTGTAAAGGCATGTGGATATAACATCAGCCCCTGCTCTGGGCTTGCTGGTCTGGGCAAGGTGACCCAGAATGCTCTCCCACAAAGGGACCCATCACCCCAGGGCAGGGAAAGGTCCAGCCCAGCCCTCTCCCTTCCTCTAGACCAGTCTCCTCCTAAAAGCCAGTAGGGTTGCCTTGGGGTGTCCGGCTTACCTTTGGCCTCATGTGCTGCCCAGGGCCTCACATTCCTGTCATGCACTGCCCGGAATATGTCCTCCCTCCCTTCCCTTGGCGAGATCTCTTTTTTTTTTTTTT